TGGTAAATCTTCCAGCACAGCCTCGGTTGGCTGACCCAGCCTTTGGTGGCCTGCTGGGCAGCGTCAAGTGCGGATAGAGTTATGGAAAGTAGAAAGTTTCTTTTCATGTCTGCCTAGTGATGAGAAGAAGAGATGAGACTGTTGCTTTTTCATGTCTCTCCTGTGGACTCTTATAATTAATTCCACCATCAAGATTCCCACGCCCAAAATGTGGATTTGGGGAGAGAAATTAAGACTTTGAAGTCAAGAAAGAAAGTACAGAAAGCATTCATTAGACAAATGCTCAACTTCACAGATGTCGGAATCTGTGAAGAGAAAAGTAAAAAGGTACTTGGGGAACCATTTCAGAGAGAAAAAAAGAACTGGAGTAGAGATGGCCACTTCAGCTTAGGAAAGTAAATAAATAAAATAAGAAAAGGTAGTGTTAAAGCTTTGAAAGGAATTTTTTCATCTGAGCGAGATTAGGAATAATGAAATGCAAACACAATAGTTAATATGTCTGTTAGCTGGTTTCTGTTTCCTTCCAGAAAATGAATAAGAGGAATGGCTTTTCAGGTTATCCTACTTGACTGTCGTTGGGGTGAGCTCTGAGTTTGCAGCCCAGATTCCTTTACCAAACAAATGCTGGTTATTAGATGCTAGATGCAAAGTCAGATCTATTCCAAGGCCACAAAGTTCCTAAGTCTCCGCTAGGTCTTCACAAATGAACCTGACAACACTGAAATTTCTAAGGAGATTTACTCCAGCTGTAGCAAATCCCTGATAAGAAAAAATTTCCCCAAATGAGTCAGTCACACAGGAGGTAAATGAGACATTCTGTGTGGAGCCACCATGTCATTTGGAATATGCCCTTCATACACAAGCCCCAGCCAGAAGACCTGGTGGTTAGCTGGGGCTTGTCTACAGGGCAGAACCCCAACACTGAAGGGAAGGGGGGGGTGTTAGCTGCCTAACTGTGACTGGGTCGCTTTCCCCTCAAGCAAACTGGATAGGAAAATCCAGTTTTTCTAAGAAGTTGAAGTAAGGACTGATTATTTACTTCACAAAAGGACTCACCAGAGGGGTCCTTTAAATAACAAGCTCAGAGAGAAACTGTATGATATGATTGATTTATATGAACCTTTTTCAAAAATGCCTCTCTTCACTATATGTGTACGTAGTTATGTAAGGATGTATTTGCAGCTGGCCGCGTTACCCAAAAGGATTTGGGTGGTATATCCGTTGAGTAAATTGAGGCAAGTTTATAGCTATGACATGTGCTGGGTAGCCTTGCTTCATCTCTGATTCTGTTAATCCCCTAGATTACTCCACGGGTGTTTAGGCAACCAGATAAAACCCTCCACTTCTGATGAACAAGCCAGTGGGATGTCAGGGCCTTTTTTTGTCCTTCCTATAGAAATTGGCAACACAAACACTGGAGCTATTTTTAAGTATTCACTGAGTGTGGGCCATGTCCCTGGTATTATTCTAGGTGCTCTAACAAGCTATGTCTTATTTAGTCCTTACGGTGATTCTGTGAGATGGATGATTGTCATGATGACGATGGTATTTTTTATCTGCAGAATTTTGAGAGCTGGATTATTTTTCTCAGCTCTTCTACTTTGGAAAAAAATTCTTTATGGAAGTATCGTTATTTTATGTTTTTTAAAGAAATGCAGGCTCGCTGTAAACAATTCAGATAATAGAATAAAGTAAAAATTACAAATTATCCCACCATCCATATATATATTTCACCACTGTTAATATTTTAGTCTATATTCTTTTTTTTTCAATTTCTTTCTTTCTTTTTGGCTGCGTCGGGTCTTCGTTGCTGCACGCAGGCTTTCTTTAGTTGCGGCGAGCGGGGGCTGCTCTTCCTTGCGGTGCGCGGGCTTCTCACTGCGGTGGCTTCTCTTGTTGCGGAGCACGGGCTCTAGGCACGCGGGCTCAGTAGTTGTGGCTCACGGGCTTAGTTGCTCCGCGGCATGTGGGATCTTCCCGGACCAAGGCTCGAACCTGTGTCCTCTGCATTGACAGGCGGATTCCTAACCACTGCGCCACCAGGGAAGTCCCTATTTTAGTCTATATTCTTTCAGACTTTTTCTGTATGTATATGCAAGGAAATATATATACCTATATATATTTTAAAGCATACTTTTAAAAAAAATCTACTTTTTTTCAACATAACAATATATCGTGGACATTTTTCCTTAAAAGCAAAAAAAAAAAAAAAAAAACTAGACCTATAGCACTTTTACTATAGCAGTGGAGTATTCCATTTTATAAATATCCAAAATTCATTTACCCGCCACTGCTGTTGGACATTTGGACACAATGCTGTTTATAAACAAAGCATCTTTTCACTTTTCACATGCTTTTTAAAATATATACACACAAAGATGCATATACATCTTTGCACAATTGTCTGATTATTTTCCTAGGAAAAAATCCTAGCAGTGGGATTGCTAGGATTAAAGGATGTGTACATATTAACTCTTTTCACATTTTTGCCAAAATGCCCTCCAGAATGTTTGAACAGATGTACATTCCCTCTTATACTGCATCTCTACTCACTTGCTCTGTCTCTTAGAGAAAGTCGCTTCTGCACTACGGCTCAGCTGCTGCTCCTCTGAAATGGATGTGAAAATACAACAAATCCCCGTGAACACTCATGAAGCACGTGCTGGGACACTTTATATAGATGATGTGGGTCACTTAAATTTCAGGGAAACCCTAGGAGAAAAATTCTAGTAGCCCTATTTTGCTCTTATTTTCCCTATTTCTGAGGCTCAGAAAGGTTGAGTGACTTGCCTGAGGGGACCCAGCTAATAAGTCTGAGCTGGGATCCAAACCCTGTTCTGTCTAATTCAGGGATGGGGGTGGGCTAGGGGGACACTGGCTCCTCCAGGCAAGCTGGGTAATGTCTGCTCCATGGATATAGGTGCTTCTCCACCGTTGTGCACCCTGCTAACGAAGGCATCACCATTACTCAGCTGAGAGTGACTGTCCAACAGTGCTTACCTCATCGTGGAAATACAAAGGAGGGGTTTTCCAGAAGGTTTGGGGGAATTTCCTTTGAGAACAAACTAAGTGTCTTTTCACTGTTGTTTTGGAAGTGAGGAAGCACATTTTTAAAGTCAGCACCATCTCCCACACTGAAATCACAAGACCTAAACAGATTGTCCCACCCACCCCCGCCTTTCCCAATCTGTGACCATCTCTTCAGAGCTCCTGGGGGAAAACCCTGCCATCTCCTCTTCTCTGGACTCTAACCAGCTTCTGCGATTCTTTGGACTGTAGGATTCCAGCCCTCTGGGGTTTAAGAACGAACTAACCCTGGTCTGCTCCATATACTCCCTTCGAAGGCCTATTTATTTGGCAGTGGCTGAGCCATCTGAAACATGGCTCCCAGGGGCGGTGGTGAGGCCTCAGGCCACTCCAGCTCAAACAAGCCACTTCTGCAGGCCACCGGCTCCCACAGACCCTGTGTGTGTGGCACATCCCAGGGAGGGTAGCCTTCCCGGTCCCTCTCTTTACCCCAAAAGAAGAGATTTCGGACATGTTGTTTTAACAGGTTGATGCAAAATAAATAAACAGGGAGAGAGAGGGAGATGGATGGTTTTCAGTAAATAATGGTACAGTGGCCAGCAATCTGAGGGAGCTGGTGGGGAAGAAATATTCCACGTCAACAGTTGTGACAGGAGTATTCCCTGGGAGCCCAGACAAGGAGCACAGACGCAGGACAGTGAGGATTGCCGGACCACACACCGAAGCTGAAAATGTGCATCCGTACAGATAAAATGGCACAGTAGCTGTGCCGTTCCGTGAACCTAGCCAAGGATGTCTTTGAGGTGTATTCCCCAACCCGGGCCGGTTTGGTTCTGTTTGAAATGAACTCAGGCCTCAGGGTGGGGAAGGCAGCCCGCTCTGCCTCTTGCTGAGACTAATAGTTATATGCTCAGAGATGCTGGGTCCCCAGGGACTTACCCCCTGCTTTTGGAGAAAGGTGGGTTTTTAAAAATTTTTTAATTTATTTTTGGCCGCATTTGGTTCTTCGTTGCTGCGCACAGGCTTTCTCTACTTGCCGGGAGCGGGGGCTACTCTTCGTTGCGGTGCGCAGGCTTCTCATTGCGGTGGCTTCTCTTGTTGCGGAGCACGGGCTCTAGGTTCGCGGGCTTCAGTAGTTGTGGCACATGGGCTCAGTAGTTGCGGCTCACAGGCCCTAGAGCGCAGGCTCAGTTCATAACCACTGTGCCACCAGGGGAGCCCCTGGAGAAAGGTTTTTATTGCCTTATCTAATGTGGTGCTGACTCCTTTTAAAAACGTGTTGTTAACTAGATAGACACTGCTGTTGTGAACTTCGCAGAGTCATCTCAGGGAGGCAGGTGGCCCACGGTTGGGGAGTCTTTGTCACTAAACGTTAAAGAGAAGAGCAAATGACCCAGGAGAGAACTGAACCTGGGGAAGAGGCAGGAAAATAAACAAATCTCTCTGAAACAGCCCCCATGTGCCTGACTCGGTGCCTAGCACCTTCCTCACGTTTTTTCATTCCATCTCCATCCCAATCCCCTGAAGTGGATATTTTTATCCTCATCTTACAGATGAAGAAATTGACGCTCAGAGGGGTTAAGTAACATGCAGAGACACAGAGCTAAGAGGAAAAGACTACGATTCAGAGAGATCATAATGGAAATAAAAATGGTGCTACGGCACGAAGAAAAAAATATTTGAGACATTTGATAGAATGACGCTACTGCTCTTATGTGAGCAAGAGATAAGGCCTTAAAGTCTAGCCATCCACTGAGGTTCTCATTCTGTGTGGCTTTCAGAAAGCAATGCAACTTCCTATATCTATGTTTGCCAGTCTCTACAAGCAAACGAAAGTGCCCTTTGATGAATACGAAACACCTGAATGTCTAGAAGTGGATGGAGGCACCTGAGCTGGAGGGAGAAAATAGTCCTTTTCATCTCCTGAAACTGGTCTTTTCTCATATGTGCCCCTTTGTGCCATCCGTACCTAGGTATGACTTCATTGAGATTCGGGACGGGGACAGCGAATCCGCAGACCTCCTGGGAAAGCACTGTGGGAACATCGCCCCACCCACCATTATCTCCTCGGGCTCGGTTCTCTACATCAAGTTCACCTCCGACTACGCCCGGCAGGGGGCAGGCTTCTCCCTCCGCTATGAGATCTTCAAGACAGGTCAGTGCGGTCATGGGTGGAGAGAAGATGGGACTCCGCCCTCTGTGTCTGGCCACGGGGCGCTGTGTGCGGGAACTACGTAATAGTTATGTGCTCATAGATGGAGCCCAGTGGGTTGACACAGGTGGTAAGGGTTCTAATTTTATCCAGCCTCAGTAAGTTGATGGAGGGAAGAGAGGTTCAAGGTGAACCTGGAGACAGCCTGAGATGAAAAGCCAGTTTAAGTTACCAGCCAATTTAAGAGGGCGAGCTGCCAGGTTAGTGCTTGGGTGCAGCATGTTGGGCAGATAAATGTTGTTAGTGGCAACGAAAGAATAGGAGAACCTGTTACATAGAAAAACACTTTTGGAAAGAATTTGATTTTTGTGTGTCTTTTTAAAAAAATCACAATAATCTTCATGGTAGGAACAAAACTTGGTTTAACGTCCTCCTAATTACTTCATGATTTAACACAGCCTTTCTTTGGAATTACATGGGACGGAAGGACATCATCTTTTCAGTGTCAGGAGTCTCTAAAAACCTTACTATGATCCACCACCACCACTACCACCAACAAAGTCACACGGTTGCTTTTACAGCCAAATATGGCTCCTAGGAATTCCCCTTGCTGTTCCACTGCATCACGTCCACCCATTGAACCCACACTTCCTAAATGCCGATGAAGCCAACACCCTGAAAAAGATAGCAGAAAGAGAGAAGCACATTGCCCTTCTTTTAAGTTGACCACTTGCTTTCCATTAGATCCCCCTTAGATTACTTTAGATCCTGAGAATATGGGCCAATGCTTAATATCCATAACTGGGTAGAGACAACTTTGATTCACAAGTCGCTGGTTCAGCATCTCCATGGAAGCACTCCAAGCAGCGTGTCCTTCCCTCCCATGTGTGAGCTCATTATCTTGAGGCTAAGTGAAGTTTATCCTCCAGTTCTCCCCTCACCGCTGCCCATCCCCCCACCTCAGGGGCTCCCACCCCATCTACGACTGTGTTTCCCTCGCCAGCAGCCCAAGTTTTACAACTCATGGACAGAGTCTGCTGAAAGGGGAGGCTGTCAGCCTTGTCATCGAGGGGCCCAAGTCCGGCGCCTGTTGAGTTCAGTGTGAGGGGAACTATTCATATATATTTTCTTTTTCGCCGAACCATTCTTGAAAGGAAGTGGTAGCTGCTGAAAGCACTTTTTATATCCACTCTGTCTAAATATTTGCCAGATTTGTCTGCCTGAGAACAAGATCGTAGAATCCAGTGAAAGGTTGGAGCCAGAGTGGGAGCCGGGAGCATCCCAGGGCATGAGTCCCAGGAAAGACTGTCTGCCACGGGTTGTCATGCAGCTGACTACGTGAGGTCACAGGGACTGACAATCTGTGTGTCCAGTGGCTCAGGCTGGTGTGAGGCTCCCAAATCGCCTCATCCACATTCCCCTGAGTCCTGTGTGAGATTCAGATTAGTCAATGCCACCGGCACTGATGGACCCCTCATTATGCCATCCTCTGCTGGGGACTAGTGGGGAGAGAGAAGAGAGGAAGGAAGGAAACGGGGTGTTTGCCCTCTTCTGGTTGGGGAGACAGTGTGTTAACTCACAGCACAGAACAGGTGCACAGTCTATGTTATTGGATGAATGTGTAAATTGATAGGTAAATTGCAAGGTAAACTATTGTTACAATATGAGGCAGAGTATTCACTGTGAAGGTATGATTAACATGCTATGGATGTGAAAATGAGGGAGCTACTGAGTGGCTTGCCGGCAGGTTATCTGGGAAGTCTATTAGGTAGCTAGGTCCCCAGTGCTAAAGCTGCCAGTCAGCTCCACTGTGCTGACCATGAAAGGAAAACAGCTCCAAGCAAGGGCATCCAGGGAGCTAGCCACCAGAAGTCAGAACAAGGGTGCGGAGGACCATTCCAGCTCATCTCTGTTTCATGTTTCCCAACTTAGTATTTAACAAAGGATGGTGCCACATCCTCCAGAAATCGACACAAAAAAGTGAATGTTAGCTCTATCCATCATGCAAATGTGAAGAGTCGATATTGAAAGACAAAACAGGGCTTCCCTGGTGGCGCAGTGGTTGAGAGTCCGCCTGCCGATGCAGGGGACACGGGTTCGTGCCCCAGTCCGGGAAGATCCCATACGCCGCGGAGCAGCTGGGCCCGTGAGCCATGGCCACTGAGCTTGCGCTCCGCAACGGGAGAGGCCACAACAGTGAGAGGCCCACGTACTGCAAAAAAAAAAAAAAAGAAATAAAGAAATAAAAGACAAAACACACAGAGGGTATCATAACTGAGCATTGCTCTTTTGAGGACAGGCTGATGTAGGATTTTGAATGAGGCAGCAAGCCTAGAAACAAAGGAGCCAGCCAAGGAAGGTGGCTTGGGCATGGAGAAGTGGGGCAGTCTACTTTAAGGCCTGGGATTGCCTACAGAAGGAAGAAAAGGATTACTGTAGCAGCGGGAGGTAACAGACAGGCCAACAACAGCCATTCTTCTGGGGAATGTAAGAAAGAGGTGAGAGCCCAGTGGCCTCGGCGCTGTTCACACATGCCATCATGCCCATCGGAAAGAACAACTCTCAGCCTGAAAGTCAACCCTCATAAAGCACATATATGTGCAGGGGGCGGGGTGTGCCAAGTTCAAAACTGAGAAGTTTAGGAAGATGAGCATTCTTCCAGGTGCCACGTCCCACACCCAGATCTCCACTGTTGGAGCCCTGAGAGAAAATACACAAAGTTATGTCATCCACAGAACATGAAAGAAACGCATGAACATGCTGAAGAAATCCAAACAAACACACTTGTGTTTGTCAGTCAGATTCATAAAGAGAGAGAAGGGGGAACTGTAAACAGATACACAACTGTACAGAGGACTCTGGAAGCCTTCGACAGCACATCGCCCAGGCGGGGCTCTGCCGCAGAGTTATACTGACAGAAATAAACTCACAATTCAGTACAGATGGGGGCGAGTGGCTGGAGAGGGAGGTTCGTGTCTGCCCTGAATGAAGTGGTTTATGAAAGAGTCTGTGTATGACCAGACGGTCCACATATAAAAGGGTAAACCAAACAACCCGCTGACTTAAGTGATCCCAAATCACCAGATCTAAGCAGAACAGAGAAAGGAATTTTAAAATAATTTAAAAAGTAACATTGGGAACTGAATCTCTGGAAAATGTGGGGGGTTTTGTGTGTTTGTTTCCTGTCTTCTGACCAAAGTTCAAGATCAAGTTTTCTTTCGTGGTGCCCAGTGACATTTTGGAAACTGAAATCTCGGGTTATTCACAGACAGAGAAAACCTGGGGTGCCCCCTACTCCCACTTCCTCAATTGAAGAACTGGATTTACCTTTGTGGTCAGCCTCAACTCATCTTTGGATAAATCCACCATGTTTTCAATAGGCTTATGTGTTCAGTTTCTTCTGCTTGCAGAGTTATCATACAATTTACAGTGAAAAACCACGGAGTGGGCATTTTTCATACCAGAGTCCTTTGGTATGAAATCATTCACTGCAGCCAAAATCCCCCCAGCCTCTATGGACAATTTTAGCATTGCATGAACTTGAGTGTTTATTGACTGAGCTATTTTTTTTAACCTTTAATCCTTTTAACACATTGCAGAAAAGCATCTTGGATTAGGTAGAGAACTGCAAGACTCAACCCTTGTCCCAGGGATGGTCACCCTTTCCTGAGATCTCTTCTCCACATTTGATATTCAGCTGCCTGCTTTCTGACACTGACCATAGTCCAAACAGCAAGAAGGTGCAATTATAGACGGATGCACGACTGTAATGGACAGGCTTGATTTTTCTGCATGAAAAGGATAAAACTGTTTTTCTCCTTCGTTCAAAATAAGCCACAGGATACACCCGTGTATAGCCATATGTCAGAGATAGATACACACTTTTTTTTTTTCTTTTTGCCTTAAGGACGTCAGATTGCAAACATCTCCCCAGTCCATTACAGGACCACAGAACCTTGGAAACTGTGGGTACTTTAGAATCTCACATTCTCCAGGCCTCTCTTGGGCTTTCTAAGTGTCCTTTGTGGAAGCGCCTGTCCCCCACGGATGACAGGGACTAAAGAAAGATTCCACTATAAATTCCCCACTCCGGGGCGGTGGAGGGGGGTGATTCCCCTTTAGGGCAAACGCTAGGAGGGAGTGTCAGGATGCCTTTTCTAGAAGCAACTTGTGAATAGGGTTAATTTCCTCTGGCAAAGTGGCCCGGCAGCCATAAACGCTAACCTTTTCAAAATCCCTCTCAGCCACCTGAAGACCTGCCAGCTGGCTTGGCTTTGCTAAACTGCCTCATCCTGGACCATGGAGGAGGCTTTCAGAAGCTGGGGTCCTGATAGTAAACAAAACTGGGGGCTCCGTGGTAAACAAACTGGGGGGAGAGGTCATCTCATCTCCTGCCTCCAGGCCTGGCTGCCCACTGGGCCACCTGGCCTCAGAATGACGGAACGCAGAGCCTCTGGGATGCAGCATTAGAGAGCCCCCGAAGAAGAATCCTGAAAAGATTAGCTCTCGCCCGGTGTCCCGGGTTCCCACCCTGCCAAGGCTCAGTGCTGGCTGGAAGGGTGGAGGTGATGGAAGGGTGAGCAGGGATATTGGAACTTCCTGACTGATGCTAAAAAAAAGTTTCCATCCCCTCCCCCACTTATTTGCCTGGCACCTTTTCCAAGTCAGACATTTGCCGCTTTCCAGAAAGCCATCATCAATAAAGAGACTCGCCGAGGGGCTGCTGCAGGAGCCACGGATAAAGACATTGCTGCGGGCTAAGATCACTGTATTGACATCACGCAGTTATATTTCAGTGGGATCCCCAGAGGACACTTCCTGCTAGTAAACACCTAGTTTATCTAGTATTTCTGTGTTTTTTCTTCATGCTTAGAGTGCCTGTTATTCCCCTCATAAATCCTGCTCCCTTTTTCAATTTTAAAATCAGAACGTAGTGAAATCAATGCTAATTGTGCAGCATTTACATTCATCGCGTTAACTTGCAAAACTTCTGGCTCCGTGCAGCTCCCTGGGCCCATGGTCTGGGCTGCAGTGTCCTGGGACCGTCCCAGGCGACCCTGGCAAATGGTGGCTGGGTTACAGCACACGAGGGCCCTTTTAATGTGACTCCACCTTGAGGCATTAGGGGAGACAGTGGCTGTAATCCTTTTACGAGCTCCCTCCCGCTGCGGTCCAAGCCTGCACCAGGATGCGAATGTGCGCAGCATTTAATAAGCCGCCTCCGTGAGCCCCAAGAAAGCAGACACAAGAGCTTAGGAGAGAAAAAAGGTCGTCCCCACCACAAAAGAACCAGAAGCCTTCCAAATGTCAATGCACTGCCACATTTTTTCCAAACTTGCTGCTGGAGCGGCCTTTAACATCCCCAAACCCTGCTGTGATCCACCAGCTACAAACCTCAATTGTTAATTGTCTGGCCACTACAGAGCCGCTAGTTTTAATATAGTCATGACATGAATGAGACCCGAGCTCCCCTTTGCCCCTCCCCTGAGGCACCTTGGATCTTGGAGGGAGATGGGGGCACCAAGTTGGCTCTGGTACAATGGGGGCCAGTGTTGAGGTCAGCAATAAATAAGGGGTAACATTGTTTTCCCTGCTGGCAATCAGCAAGCCTTCCTTGAGGATTGAAATAACTTACATTTCTGGAGCAAGCAGCTGAGTAATTGAGAAAGAAGGCTCTGTTGGTCTTTTCAAGAGAATCCATCTCTCTCTCTCCCTCCCTGTGTCTCACACACACTTCTCTCTACACCACCCCCCTCCCAAATCCTCAACTGCTGCTGTTACTCTAATATGTAGAGCAAGCCTGCTCTACTCCCTAATTTCTCTCCTAAAGATGGTCTGGCTTAATGGCTTGAAACGTTGATGTGAAAAGTATGTTGCTTCAAGGGCCACTCCAGTGGAAACAAAAACTTTGTGAGTAGGGAAATTTGGGCCCAAACATTTAAATAACCCATGTGACAGAGGCAACAGAGAAAGGCATCCTCTTCCACTCTCTTAATGCTATGGTTCTCATTTACATACAGGCTCCGAAGATTGTTCAAAGAACTTCACAAGCCCCAACGGGACCATCGAGTCCCCCGGGTTTCCCGAGAAGTACCCACACAACTTGGACTGCACCTTCACCATCCTGGCCAAACCCAAGATGGAGATCATCCTGCAGTTCCTGACCTTTGACCTGGAGCACGACCCTTTGCAGGTGGGAGAGGGAGACTGCAAATACGATTGGCTGGACATCTGGGATGGCATCCCCCATGGTGAGTGATGGCGCCATCACCAGGCACTTCTCAGTAGCTTCGCCTTTGCCTGCTAATTGCTTTAGGAGCAATAAAAAAAAAAAGAGAAGGCGAACAAAGACTTTAAAGTTCCTCAGGGTTTATCTGTGACCCATGATGACTTTCTCTTCCTATCCTTCACCAAGGATGACTTCAGAGACATTGTCGAAAGACAGTTTTCTCTCTTGGAGATATTTCTTTGGAAAAGGATAGAAGGAGACTGAGTAGATACTTGGATGAGGATGAGAAAACCTATAGGTAATGTTCTTTTCTGCTCCAAGTCATCAGGCTTGCCATGGAGAGTGACTCAGTGACCACCCTTTATGCCCAAATAGGACTCTAGAGCCAGATTGACTAAGTTTGAATCCTGGCTCTGATATTAGCAGCTCTGCAACCTTGGGCAAGTTCCTTAACCTCTCTGTGTCTTATCTGTATAAATAAGCTGCTACTATCATCACTATAATTACTGTAATTTTATTATCATTTATATAGTCATAGATGCATAAAAGGTGCATCCCCCAAGGCCAAGAGGGACCTGTACTTCTCAGGTGGAGACCAGCATAAGTCTCAGGTATATTTGGTATCATCAAGGAAACCAATCTCTCACTTTTGTAGTCGTTCTAAGTATTTTGCACTGTAAGGAAGATTTGATGGCTAGGCAATTTCATTTCCTGAGAAAAGCTTAAGATTTAGTCAGGAAACTTGGGTTGGAGTCCCAGCTCTGCTATTTCCTAGCTGTGTGAACAAAGAAAAGTCACGTGCCCTCTCCAAACCTCAATTTCTTCTTCTGTAGAATAGGCATTATAATGATACCTTTCCAGTCCATCTCCCAGGGCTGTGAAAACAGAATGAGGCCAGGTCAGTGAAAATCCTTTTTAATGCGCAGGAAAAATATTAGCCATTGTTCTTAAAACAAATCTCTGGTTTCTCTTTTATGCCAAGGCATCCAAAGTGATGCTCCATTGAATGACTTGCAACTGTGGGAAGGGAGAATGTATGGCCAATGGGGTTTGGCATTTCCATTTCTGTGACCTCTCTTTGTCCTGCATGTCCAGTCGGACCCCTGATTGGCAAGTACTGTGGGACCAAAACACCTTCTGAACTCCGTTCGGCCACTGGGATCCTCTCTCTGACCTTTCACACGGACATGGCAGTGGCCAAGGATGGCTTCTCTGCACGTTACTACCTGGTTCACCAAGAGCCGCTAGAGAGTGAGTTGGCCGGTTGGGAACCTCTGTCCTGTCCTCCCATCAGGGCTGTGAGAGTGTGTGGGGAAGAGAGGCTGACCTGCAAGAGAAGGAGATGGGAATTCTCCAGAATTTGCAGTGGCATCTGAGCTCAGGGGATGGGAGCCGTGTCCTCTTGCTAGGCAGAGATTAATGAAAATAGGATAAATGTCAATCTGGCTACTCATTTCTTTAAAGAAAAAGTGTGGGGGCTTCCCTGGTGGCGCAGTGGTTGAGAGTCCGCCTGCCGATGCAGGGGACACGGGTTCGTGCCCCGGTCCGGGAAGATCCCACATGCCGCGGAGCGGCTGGGCCCGTGAGCCGTGGCCACTGGGCCTGCACGTCCGGAGCATGTGCTCTGCAACGGGAGAGACCACAACAGTGAGAGGCCCGCGTACCACCAAAAAAAAAAAAAAAAAAACAAGAAAAAGTATGTATACCAAGAATTAGTTATTCCCGTGGAATGTCGCAGGACCATCTCAAGGCTCAGAATGAAAGGGATGTTAGTTAGGATATTTATATCGAGTCCCCTCCTGTGCTAACATTTTTTGAGTCTGGGGCCATTTTCTTCCCTCTCCAAGCCTCAGTGACCATTGTCAAAAAACTGAGCAATTTTCAACCTCTCTCTATATACATATGTTTTGACATTAAACATCTCTGGCCCTGGCTAGAGTTTCTCTCACTAGGCTGGTACACTGCTTGGACTTTCAGTTCATTCTTCTAATAAACACAGTTTTTTGAGCTTCTACTATGTGCAAACAGAGAAAGTATAACCCTGACCCCAGTGGTCATGGAACCTGCTGTCTTTGAACCCAGACCATCAGTATCTTGCCCTGAGCTACATCTTTAAATCAGCTCCTCTTGGACATGTGCTTAAGATGTGCTGCCATTTTCACCAAGAAGCCCAAATGATAACTTGAAGGACTAAAGGAACACTTTCAGGATGATTGGAGCTGGGCAAATCCTGCTTTGGCTGTAGACAGCTTACCACATGCATACCTGCAGCTTACCACACGCATACCTGCAGACACGGCAGCCTGGCCGACTGATGGGTTTTGCTTTTGTTTTTTTCTTCAAAGAGCTCATGAAGATTGAGTGACAAGAAAACAGTATTGTGAGTTGCACCAAGTTCTGCAAATGGCCAGTGCGATCACAGAGCTACAGAGTAGGTTTGATACCTGAAAAAGATTGCTGGTCCTTATCTGACACATGCACACACAAATATTGACCAGTATCCGTGGGATCCATAGGAAGGACAGCAATTAAACTGAGAGCGCAAGGCCAGGGGAAGTGACTTCCGGGTCCATTTGCCCAGACAGGTGGTGCAGGGTGCACTCTTGCTTACAGAGTGGTCTCCCAAAGACAGGTATTTATTGCTTTGTAACATCTATCTTCTGTGCCAGAACTCATGAGACAGTTGAGTGAAAGAAAGAAAGAAACAAAAGTGCCTCCTTGGTGTTTATTAATAAAGCAGCCTTCCCACGATGTATCACCCCACCCAAGTCTATCATACGTTTACCTGTATTTCAATAAGAGTGCATCTGGAAACTGTGAGCATCCGTAGCCTGTAGCACTAACGGTTCTTGTGCTTTAGATTGTATTTTTAATTTGTATGATGATTCTTATTTATCCACAGCCTGATTTCTTTTAGGTCAAATTTAGTTCCTTTCAGACCCAGAGGGATTGTCAATCTCTGTGACTTGGCATAGTTGTTTTTAAAATGTGAGTGTATAATTCGGTCTTTAAGATGAGGGAGTGCCTGCAAGGACTCATCCCTAGAAGGGAGCAGCGTTCTGGGGGTCCCAGGGGTTTAAGGTGGAGAGACCTAACTCTGCCCTTGCCCATTTCCATCCCCCAGACTTTCAATGCAATGTCCCTCTGGGAATGGAGTCTGGCCGGATTGCTAATGAACAGATCAGTGCCTCATCTACCTACTCTGATGGGAGGTGGACACCTCACCAAAGCCGGCTCCATGGCGATGACAACGGCTGGACACCCAACTTGGATTCCAGCAAGGAGTATCTCCAGGTACTGACTCAGATACCAGAGGGTGTGCAGAGTGTGTGTGCAGTGGTGGGCAAGGGGGCTGGCTCCTTCGCTAGATTGGACAAAGAAGCACAACATACTTGAGAACTTCTTTCATCCATCCATCCATCCACCCATCCATCCATCCATCCAAAGAAATCCACATTCCAGCCACAAATAGACTATACCAGGCACTGTGCTAAGTGCTGGGATAAAATAACAAGTAAGATGGACACCGCCTCTGCCCTTGTGAAGATTACCAGGCCTTGGAGAAGTTGCTTGGCTGGGAAGCTGTTTGCACTTTCACTATAGTTGTCCAAGGAACTTCCATAAACAGTTACAGAGCGTCCTCATTCTCAGCATAGGGAGGCATCAGAGACTTAGGGGGCATTTTTCCTAAGGGCAGGCATGAGAAGCATGGCAGCTTCTCATGATCTTTGCTGTTCGGAGGGAGCCCTCCCAGGAAGGTTTTGCCTATAGCTATCAGGAGAATACACGGGAAAATGTCATTACCAGGAGTGAAACTCCAGTTGCTCGGATACCCTGCAGCATCTTTTCAGACTATTGTTTGCTTTCCTTCTTTCAAGACTTGCAGCTCCTGTTGAGTAATCCTCCCTTGCACTACACACTGGTCCAGCTCTCATCCCCAGGGAAGAGCAAGCTGCTAGTTCCATGCTAGAGCAATGACTGCTTTCATGACACACGGCAGACAGCCTCGTGACCCACTGACAAGCCTGTCCTAGCTCTGATGCGAGCCGGCGACCTCTACTCTGAGAAGGAGGTCGCAGAGCAGACAACAGGAAAGGGAGAAACACCACTTAGAAACTTCCAGGGAGTCCACAGAGGTTCTAACGCCCAACCCTAAGGCCATCTGTCACTATCTCTCCTCTGCTTCTCCAATAATGCTTCTCATCTTGCAGAGCTTCCAGAAAGTTCTCCTTTCTCGCCAGCATTCTGTTGATTGTAGTCCTCATTTTGGGTCCTAATCATATACTTTCTCTTATTGCTCTCCACCTGTTTATCATACACATACACAGCATTGTGTACTCCTTTTGAATGCTTAATGATGCTGAGCACATACTAAGTAGCCAATAAATGCTTACTGAATCAAATTTTACTGGTGTGTGCTGGCTAAATTTTGATCACGCAGAGATTGCCACTAAGAAACACTGTGGTCAGCAAAGGAATAACATCCAGCAATTTCCAAATGTGCTTGGTGTTGTGGGAGGGGAAGTGCCTCAAAATGTTGGCCCTCCTCATCAGGCAAAAGGTCAGGACTCGGTGCATAAGCCTAATTGCTTGGGCAGACTCTGCGTGCCCTCTGACCCCTCGGTGACCTGAGCCACTAAATACACAATGGAGTGAGGAACTGAGGGGAGGGGAAACAGCTCCGAGCTGAGACTTTGGCACTAGGGCATCGAAAGTGAATTGGCTTGAATTGGACTGGATCAGAGCGGAGTGGATTGGATTGGATTTAGCCATTGTTCCTTTAAACCAGCATCCACTTTCACTATCCAAGGCAGGTCGTGGTTAGGTAAGAAGGGGTCATAGTTCTAGATGTTCAGTGATTCCTTTAAGATAAACATAATCCTGTCTGTTCAGATTTGCAAAAGAAAAAGAGAAAAGAAGAAAAAAAATCAAGTTCCAATTTCTAAAGGTGTCCAATGTAGTTCGAATATGTTGAGTTCAACTGTCCAGGGGACGCAAACGGATACTTATCACCAATACCTGTGAGCGAATCACAGACACGGGTTGTGAGCTAAGGATTACAAGTGTGTCCTTTGAAGAAAAAGCCAGATTCAGCCCTGTGTCAAGAGAGTCAAGGCCCCCTTCCTTCTCCGCCTGTCTTCCTCAGGTGGACCTACGTTTTCTAACCGTGCTCACAGCCATCGCAACGCAGGGAGCGATTTCCAGGGAAACCCAGAATGGCTACTTTGTCAAATCCTACAAGCTGGAAGTGAGCACTAATGGTGAAGACTGGATGGTGTACCGGCACGGCAAGAACCACAAGGTAAACCCGTTTCCCCACCGCCTGGGCACGCCGGGGTGGGGCAGGAGGGCTGGCACAAGAAGGGCTGCAGAGCCACCCCACGTGGCCAAGGAGGCCTTGTTCCCTGAGGCTCCAATAATTGATGGAGGCACCGGAGATGCTGGCCCTGAAAATATTCTTTCTTATGCTAAAGTGATTGGAAAACACCGTTGTCTCTCCGACAGCCTGGCTGCTGTCACATCTTGCACAGCAGAGAGAGAAAGAGAGCTTGCAGGGTGCTCTCTGACTGCAAATGAAGGAGAAAATGTGTTCCCTGTCTGAGTCTCCCCATACAGGATTCATTGAGCATTTATGGCCTGAGTCCCTTCCACGTGCTGGGTTAAGAATCACAAAACGTCATGAAACTGCCATTCGGGAGTTACCGAGGTCTGGGAGTAAAAGGGCACAGATCCTGAGAGGGAATCACAATGTCCCGAAGAAGAAAGAGGATAATAAGTAATGAGAAATTCGGTGTGTCGGGGATGGGATCTGAACTGGCAGTCGTGTGGCAGCGAGGCGTTGAGTTCGCTCGCTGGTGCCTTCAGTGTCTGGGGCTCTCGGAGGTGTGTCCGCATGGGTGATGTGGGGCTTTTGTTGTACATGTGGATGAATGTCTGGCACTCCGCTTTCCTAAGACACGTGGCGCTCTGGTGGTGATCAGGCCCGCAGCTGGCGCCCGCGAGGTGCATACTGGGTGTGAGGTAGACTCAGCGTATGGGGGGCTTATTGGAAACGGCCGGTGGTCTCATGTGGGCAGGGCGAGAACTCCGTTCGTTGTGGGTTGGCTCTCGGGTCTCAAAGGAGAGCGCTCATCCTTCCCAGTGGAATCGGGAACTGAGGGAAAGGGTCTCTCCTCTTACTGCCACAGTCCCAGCAGCCCCCTGGTCGGTCAGGTGTGAATTATCAAAAGGCGACACAGGTGGTCCAACCTGGAGAAGCCAAAGGTCTTTTCCAAACAGGGCCCCCTTGGCTCCTGTCACTGCCCTAAGGCAGCTTGCTCTTGCTGGTGAAACTGGAAACCTTGGACCCAGAAAATCCTAAACTATAACGTTGGCACTGTTTCACTTGGGAAATTTGAGTTTTTAAAGGAGTGGATTTAAAAAAATTAAGATCGCCATAGTAACATGGCACCGTTCATCTGAAATCATGGCTTCTAGATATTACCAGGTGTCTCTCTCTCTCTCTCTCTCTGTCTCTCTCTCTGTCTCTCACACACACACACACACACACACACACACACACACACACCATTTCACAGATAAAGTGAGAGACGTGTCTCTCTCTCTCTCTCTCTGTCTCTCTCTCTGTCTCTCACACACACACACACACACACACACACACACACACACACCATTTCACAGATAAAGTGAGAGACTTAGCAATTGAAAGACTTCCCTGTCTTGACGAGTTGAGCCAGGTCTGGTTTCTCATTGCCTGCCTTTGTTTCAGGAAGAGTTACCAAATGTCACTTGGACATGGCAAGCCAGAGTCTGGCATGAGTTGCTGGGAGCACCCTGGACTGAGTCCTCATCCCAGCCTGCTGTGTTTCATACCCTTTCTCTCCAGCCTCCCTTTTCAGTAAGAAACTGGTAGAAACCAGAAGGTCAGCCAGGCAGGCGAGGGCCAGCAGCTGGGTCGGGGTGGGTACAGGGGAGGGGGAAGAGATCCCCCCAACCGTCTCCCTTTCTAGGCTCAATGACTAAGCACCACTGGCCAGAGGGATACTGTAGCATAAGCCAATTTTAAAAGCGTGCAGATGGACCGGGATGCTATTTAAAACACCATTTGCAGGAAATCTGCTTTTGGAAATACCTTAGCACTGCACATTTTGATAGAATGCTGTCCTCCCTGGCTTTATCCCTGGTATTTGTTCTGCAGGGAAGATATCCCTGAAGATTGAATTTAGCTCTCTGGGCTCCTTTAGAACCATTCTTCACATCTTCTTCATATCAGATACATCCTCCTTTCTCTCTCTCTTTTTTTTTAAATGCATGTTACATTTTATTTTATTTTTTAATTATTAAATTAATTTATTTATATTTTTGGTTGCGTCGGGTCTTAGTTGCGGTATGTGGGATCTCAGTTCCCTGACCAGGGATCGAACCCAAGTCCCTGCATTGAAAGGTGGATTCTTAACCACTGGACCACCAGGGAAGTCCCCCTCCTCTCTCTTTTTTTTTTTTTTTTTTTTTTTTTTTGTGGTACGCGGTCCTCTCACTGTTGTGATCTCTCCCGTTGCGGAGCACAGGCTCCG